CGGGGCCGCGGTAACGCGCATAAATCGTGCCCAACGTCTTCAACGCGATTAAAACGGGTTCCAGGTCGCGCTTTACAGTTTCTGGACGTTCATCACGAGTGGAAAATTGGAAAATGGGCGAGCAGGGCGAGAAGAGACTCCGAGCAACGTTGGAATTCTCGGTATTTCATGCTTTCAACACTTTGCTTCCGTGTACACTGCGATTTCTATTACTTTGCGCAGTTGCGTGTTTAAATGGCTGCCGCAAAAGCGAAGGTTCTAATGTTCGACGCGTTTGAAATTTATTATTTGTCCAGTTACTGCAAATAGGCGAGCGTTTTTTTCGACAGAAATAATGTGATTAAACTGAAATATTATATATACTTCGATAGCGAGGTAATTTAAGTATTTTGTCAATTGTTATGTTTATTAAGATAGAACGTATGTCAGTTTATTTTCGAGATTTCTAATGGTTGATATATTTCAACGCAGTAGAACTGCAAAATCTCAAAGAATTACGTTAACATAAAAGATCTCAGTGTTTTTACAATTACTAAAAATGTATTTTTAGCGAAATTAATATTGATTTTTTTTTAGACGGACACTTGATTGTAGCCTCTTTAGTGTCACTGTAGATATTTTTGCTGGAGAAGTGACGCAAACTGTGTCTGTGACAGAATTGTTATTTTTTAAATGAATAAAAATTGTTTCTAGAAGCGAACCATTTACCAGTATAGAAATGCAATAATTACTCAATATAATTATAAGAAACACTTGCGTCAAGAAATGGTTAAATAACTCATAATCTATTTCGAAACTTATTTCTCTTGGTTGTCTCGCGATTATGTACTAAATATCGATAGTTTTGGCATCAAGTTAAATGCTCGTTTCTTTTAAATACGAGAGCATGTGACTCGCCATGTCATTTCGTTGCACACGAATGATTAACACATGACGTCGTAAAGTTCGTTAAACTACACGTTCAGAGAGTTCGAAAACGGCAAGAAAGTGTTCGAGAAACTTTTACTTTCAGCGTCGATGTCTTTTACTATTGTGCAACCGGCGCATGATAGAGGATACAAAAAAGCGGCTTATATAGAAAGTGTTTGTAACGATTTATAACCAGTGGCTGTGCCGATTGAAACAGTCATTGCATGCGTCAAATGATGAAGGAACTCATTTTGGTCTTTTCCGATATTTATGACGAATGTTTCCTACCGTGACATCTTTGAATAAATTTTAAAAAATTTCCTTGACGAATTTCCAACGTTGGTTTACAATATTAATGATTAAATCAATAAATTATTAATGAAGTTTCATTGGAAATCAAAGGATAAAGGGATGAGAAGATAATGGTAAAATGATAATGATGAACTGAAAAATAAAAAAAATATATAGTTATTCTCGAACAATTTGTCAGAATTTGTCGAATTTGTTAAATGACAATAATGATAATTAAAGGATTTAACGAATGAAATTTCGTAAAAAGAAAAAAAAAATGGAATATTCTTTAATTGCGATATTCGATAATCGAAAAGTTGCGCGAGACCTCGGTAACGTCCAATGGCCTGTTCAAGCAAGGTTGCCCCCTCGACAACATCTAACTGTTTATTCTATACGGTATCCAAGCAGCCAGTGTGGGAATTCATATTTTTAACCGGTTTGATCGTTTCCTATCGTCCCTCGAAATGTTCCTTTCACCGTTTAACGAAACTGCCACCGTGAAATTCGAGCTGAATCCAGGGTCGTCGAATTACGTGCCATAAGTACCATTCGATCCTCCGTTTTCAAGTCAAATAGCAGAAGAGCGAAACAACTATGAACATTCTTCTACATCGTTCTTTAATTGACATTCAATCGTATATTAAATTTCAAATAAATATTAAGATTTTTTTTCAAGTTTATCATCCAGTTTGTTGCGTGCCAATTTGGAGGTCGTCGAATAGCATGCACTGTAATAGCCATTACTTAGTGGTTCGTTTTTTGCAATAGAACAGGACGATCATGAATATCTTTTCGATTTATATCATCATTAATTGGTAATTTAAATCTTTTCACACGACATCACGAACGAAAGTCGGGCAAACAGCCAAAAGTGGCGTTATAAATTTTACGTCTTTAATGTTACTGTATATGTATGACGTGATTATTAAAATTTATTGGCTGAGAAAAGTAGAAAAAACCTAGCTATTTTTGGTGTCAGAGGTTCAGATCTTGCCAATAAATGCTATTTTTAACACTCAGCTATTTATTGCTGAATATATTCCCTACTACGTATCTCATATCTCACATATCCTACAATATTTTTAATGGATGTTTTTTATCCTAATTTCTACTGCTAACAATTTCATTCTACATTCTATATATTTCATATACATACTTATCTTATTTATTATCCTATATACAATACCTCACATCACTAATCTTCATTCCATTTTTATTTATCCTCTTTACTTTCCCGCATTCTAACAATACTAATATTTCTATTCTAACAACGTTAACATTTCTATTCTAATAATACTAACACGTCCATCCTACATTTCACATTTTATATACCTTATCTAGTTTCCCATATCACTAATCCTATTATCCCATTTTTATGTTTCATATCACACACTCATCTCATATTCTGTTCCTTTTATTCGATAAAACATTCTTCCCTTCCTACATTTCATTTATCACCATCTATACATCTCATATCCTACACTTTATATTCTCTTTCCTACAATTCTAATCACATTTTCTCTAACCAGAAATTTTCCACATAGCTAATTCGTGGGCCGTCACGATTATGTTATTCCACAAAATAAATTTTATAGCCCATAAATCTCCTGTAAAATTATTTTCTGGGATGTGACATTCATTTTGTGGGACAATAGCCTACGTAAATTATTTCAGCCAATGACTTTTTATGGATATGGTTTAAAATATTCATGTAATATATCATAAAAGAATGTTGTCATTTTTTATCGATAAATTCAAGGAAAATTCGAACGCTAAGGAAATTAATCTAAGAGCGTCTTTAATTGGATCATTATTAGCGAAATTTAATTATGAAGTTACAAGATACAAGTTACCAGTGATAATGTGATAAATCCTCTTGTATGACAGTAACAAGTTTGTTTTGTAAAACAAGCGAAGTTTTGCGAGTTAATCTTATCTTATTAAGTTGTTGCATGATAAATGTTACTTCCCGTCGAAGTCCCTCCAGTCACTTTCAAATTATAAAATACTCAGCGATTAATCAACAACTAAAATTATAAAACATTCAATTAATTCTGTTTGTGTATTTTTTTACTCAGAAAACTTTTGTCTGATATCTTTTATAACGGTAATAACAATATATTTTCATTTTTTTTTAAATATAATATTTTGTGATCATTTTATATTATTCTTTACTCTTTTCTCATTTTTAATTTTAGTTTCGTGTTAAAAAGAAGAATCTTCCAATTTTCTCCTTTATTATTATTTTCTCTTATCATTTTCTCTTTCTCCGTTCGATTCGACATTCTCTTTAATTTGTCTTCTCTCAAGTACGTAACAATTCTAAGAAAAGCTGAGAGAAACAGTTCTAAGGAAATTGGATATCTTGGACAGATAGAAAATTTCGATTCGAGAGAATGAAACGGAGTTTCCAGAACGTACAGTGAATTCGAATTAATATTCGGACATTTAAATATTCGGACACGAAATATTGAAAATATTTCAAAAGAAATCAATAATAAACTTGCATTCATTTTAAGTTAGGAGAAAAGAGTCTTCACTTTGCCATAATGTTACATAATGTACAAAACATTTTATAAATAAAACGAACGCCTGCAATTTGAAAGCACATCTTTAAAATAAGTCTAAATTTATTATTGTACGATTTATAATTTTTACAAAATTATAACAGTTTGAATATCTAGTAATAGTGTCCGAATATTTAAATGTCGAAGTATTAATCGCAAGTATACATGTAGGTCATCGTCCAAAAAATTGTCAAAGTCAATCAGTACCGAAGAACAGCGTAAGGTGGTTGATTTTCTGTGTCTGATCACGATTCAGATCATGCCGGTAGAATGTCCAGCCAGCGTGGCCCAGTGACATTCTTCTCCTCTTTGTCACGTAGCTTGCATGACCCATTGCCCTCGACTGGCAATGACCACAACGTTCCCGTTTACTTTTTATCGCGTTAAGCGTTGATGCCACCGCGGCAGAAAATGTCACAAGTCATTTTCACGCGGCTCGCAGAAAATCTACCGTGCAAATTTAACGTCGAAACGGATCAAGTTATTTAGTAATATTTCCATTAGCATCACTGGCAAACAGGTCTTTGGGAATTCTGTTCGGTAACGGTGGAAAAAAAAAATGCTCTTCCATGAGGAAATAAAATTTCTCAACGTTCGAGAAATATATATATATATATGTAATAGACGCTTGGAACAAACGCTTGGTACTTTCACTGAAGAAATTTTCCATCGTTAACGCGTCTTTTGGAGCACGGCGTTAATGCACACCAGTGTGCATTTTCGCCTCTTCGCGATAAGAATCGTGCGACACAAATGTTCCAAGACTTTCTCCTGGCTAAAACTAAATATCTAACTAAATATCGATATGCTTTGTATTTATTGATTTCTCCGTATAAATTCAAATGTCCTTAATATTCCAAAATAAAAGCGTTTTAGATTTTATAATTTTATGAAATTTTCACAAGCATTTGAATTCTTATTTTCACAAGACCTTTGCTTCAAAGTGATCGAAAAACAAAGTTAAAAGCGTTATTTTGTCACCGTTACTACAATTTTATTGAATTTCTCATCCAGCTATTTCGCTACACTCTCTCTTTCTTTCCGTTTTGTTCCAGATGTTCTTCGGATCTTCCATATTGTGGAATAAGATATTTAGCATTTCTTTTTATTTATAACAAAAGATCAAAAGCCAAAATTGTGAAAAGTCGTTAAACTAGAAATTTACAGAGTAGCTTAAATTTTCACAATCGTCGTGAAATCCTGATTTTCACAAGTCCGCTTCTCTTTCAGAGTAACGAAAGAAGAAGAAAAAGGAGACCATGGAATCCTGGTTGAGCGATGTGCAACGCGTGAGAATTCCACGGCCGAAATTCGGCAGCGGGAACACGGTGAGGCGGTCCAATTCCACGGTGCAGCACGTGCGACCGGAAGTGCTCTCTCGACAGACCCAGGACGTGGCCAAAGCCACGGAGGAGCTGCGACAGGCTCTCCAGGACAAGCTCTGACTGACCGATCGTCGATAAGAGGCCATCGTAAACTGATCGAGCAAAAACACAGCCGAGTCCGAGGATCGTCGTGCCAAGGATTCTACGCCGGGTCGTCGCCTTGTCGTCGCCTTGTCATCGTCCCGAGTCCATATCTTCTATCGCCGTGAACCAGAGGATGAATATCGTTGTTTCGCGATGACACGTTCCGTTCCTAACTCACGGCCAGATTATCGGCGAACTTTTACGAAAAGAACAATCGAGGCTCGAGGATGAATGTTCGCCCGAACATTCGGGGACGAACTTCCGCATTTTGGCGAGTGACGGTGATATATTGTGCTGGCGATGAAGGGAAACAGAGCGATTGATGTACACATGTGTGTGAAAGTGGATGCTGAAACGTGAATATGCGGTGGAACGTTGGTCCTTTGGACTTTTAAAGTGAATTTGGTGGAAATATTTGGGGGGTAGGGAGAGATGTGGTGAGAGATTGTGTATCGATGTAAATATGTAAGAGAATAAATACAAAAGTATTAAGAATGAAGTGCAGTCGGCTAGGAAAATCATGAAGATCGAAATAAAGATGTTATAAGGATTTATAATGAATATGATCGTAAAATTGACGTGTCGGTCGTGTTTTACGCCAAAACGATTAATTAAGAACTACTTTATCCGCATAAAATTTAAATATCACCTATAAATTGAAATAACGAGGTATAATCATGATCTTAATTTAGTAATTTTAATTGAGAAAATGTTATAACTTGCTATACGTTAATGAATATTTATTTTAACAAGATTCAATTTATCTTAATCTTATTAAATACAGTTTATTCAAGTTTGTATTAATAATGAATTTGTAAAAATGCCAATTATTCGCATAAATACAGTTTAGCTACAGCTATAATCATTTTGAATCAAAGGATAATGAATAACTAGCGTTCTGTTGCGTATAAGATTGTCTAAAACGTGTGTAGGTGCGAGTCAGTATCGAAGGAATCAAATTTATCTTTGCAAAATTACGTTTCGCGAGATCATGTACATACAGTTCGCCAATAGTCGCTTTCCATTATGATTTCTACTATATCAAAGCTATGCTTTTTTACAAATCTTCTGTAATAATTTATGTAATAATTTATGTACGCGACGTATGTGTGTTTCCTCTTTCAATGTTAAAAAGAGACTGAAAAATAAAAATCTGTTAAAATAACGAAGAATGTGTCGATTTTTTTTATTCTTCCTCGCCGCTTCTTATTAAAATAGAAAAAGGAAGGAAATAAAAATTGAAATTCAAATTAAAAAAATTTAATCAGACAACTTTCACACATTCGTTACAATTTCACTTCTAAATTTCATTTAATTTTTAATTTCATTCGTGTCAAATTACTTCTAATTTTTAATTTCGTTCTAACTTTTAGTTCTATTCAGTTTAAATTGCTTTCAGTTTCATTTTCAAGTTTTCTTTGAAGTTTAATTAAATTGAGAAAATTAAAAAAAAAATTAATTAATTATACAACATAACGAACGAATGAAATATTTCGCGAAAACAACCACAACCGGCTACGAACTATCCGAAGATGGATTTAAATGACATTTACGACTCTGTGTTGCGTCGTAAAGGGGAACGAAAAAAGAGAAAAAGATTTTTTTCTCGATCTCGGAGCTCCTCTTCAAGGATATCAAGCGGCTCGTTCGCGCTCGGTCGACGATCTCCCGTTCCAAGGCCAGCAAAAGTCCATCAACGTTAACCGCCGCGAAATAGAGACATTTCGCGGTTGGATCGGGCCGTGCGATCTGTATGCCATGATCGATCGGGCCTGGATAATTAATTCAGACCTGGAACACCTCCTTCGACTGACTACAGGATCACGTCGAGCGGATATACGGGCCGGGATGAACATCGATCGACCTGGCGTGATCAGCGTCCATAAATCGAGCTCGTTTCCAAATGGACCCGTGAGAGGATACTCTCGATCGCTGGATCACTTGTCCAGGATGCGCGAGGCTAGACTCTGTGCACTTACGTACGATTTTCCATTGATCACGCGAGAAATGAAATAACACCGGGAGTGTAACGAGAAAATGTTAATGAGTTTTTCTTTCGAGCTTTCTTTTTCGGTTGATGATCTGTTTTATGGAGTCCAACTGGTAGTGTATATCTTTACATTCGCGCGAAGACGAGCGAAAAATGACATCGTCAAAAGCATTCCGTGACTTGATGCTCGATCGGAAGTAAGTTGTAGGTTCGATTTAATTCACTTAATACCCGAGGCTGTTAACGAGCTTGCTAGACCGGTCGATACGCGAAATGATTGCACCATTCCACGGATTTGTCGTTTCGTCTCGCGGAATGTCAAATTGGCAGGGAGCAAGAAGCCTGAAGAACGGCGAGCCGAGGAAAAGCGCATTTATAGCTTTCGAAAAGATCGTAAAGAGAATCACGATTGTGTTATCCCATGAGGAAATGTTCGTCGAGTGATTATTTAACATTTAATAAAGTCATTTTAAAAGGAATCGAGTGAAAGATGAAACTGATTTTGCTTTATATAGAAAGATGCGCTTGTATTCACGGGAAATTAAGCAAACAAAATGAAGCTAACTTTATATCAAGGAATAGTTGTTATTTTTCAGAGAAAACTAACATTGGATGAAAAGTAAAAATACAGGAAACGTCTCTAATCAGAAGAGTGGATCTAGGATCTGTACGAGGTGCAGGTATATATTATCGAGTTATGTGTCTTTCACGAATTTCACTGTTATTTTTATGAAAGACGTCGATCGTTAACTTTGCTCGCGCGAGAAATTTTACCACCTCTCTCAATTATCCATTCGTTCTGCTCTCGTGCGCATCGCATGTGCATCCTGTACCCTCCTTTTCTTGACGTTATCACACACAAAATACTGTCAGCCATTACCGCAAGACAATTTCGCTGTAATACCGCAAGACAGTTCATAACCGAGCGAAAGAGAGAGAGAGAGAGAGAGAGAGAGAGAATCTCCTACTCTCGCTAGTTGGATGAATTCTCTGCAATTACTACGTAGTTACTATACAGTAGCAACGACGTTAATATGTTTGATATACATAGGTATATATTCTCGAAATTACTAAACGTAGGAACACATTAATTCCGAGGCAAATATTTTATATCTTTGGGAACAAAAGATGAGAGTGAGCACGATGAAATTTTAGTCATGACCGAGATTCATTTTCTGATGTAATAATATTCAGAGGAAAACTCACGTTAATTGAAATGCTCCAGTCTTCATAATCTGTTAGTGTATAAATCGTGTTTAAGAGATACGTGCTGTTGATACTTGTTTCGTGCTAGTATGCATATTGTTTCGTATGTTAATGTTTAAGTATCTGCGTGACCTTGATTTAAAATATTTAAACTCAAAAATATATTGTGAAACAAATATTATACATTGTGAAATGTATTGTCAAAAAAGTTCACGGCTAAAAATATTAACATACGCTGTTTGTGCATTTTATCATCAAATTTGACAATTTTTCACACAACCTTAATTTGAATAAAATTGTACATGTTTCATTGAAAATGTATTTTAGTAAATTTTATTGTTATTCTTCACAAGGAACAAGATACGTACTTCAAGAATCTTAGAACATCATCCTAATTCTGTATTTAATGACTGAAATACATATATTAAAAGAAAGATTCTACAGCTATTAAAACTAATTAATTACCATCCTCGACCCGCGTTACATAATCAAGCAACTTTCGAGATGCATTTTTCACGTCGCGTGCGGTTCGTCTAACTGCCACTTTCTATAACCGCGTAAACGATTCGAGAGCATCGGTATCGCGTAAATGCCTTCTCGTTGGCGTGTACCACGTTACACACGGCGCCAGCTATCCCGTTTCTAGATAATTTCTATTCCCACGCGAGGAAACACCATCGATAAATCCTAACCGGAAGCATGAACGAGAGATCCCCCGGAAGAAACAAGGGAGCAACCGTGACGAAGATGCCCCGCGAGATTAGAAGGTAAACTATCGACTTACCAAATTGTCCGGATGAAGATGATGATGACCGTAATCCCTAGGGTTGCCCCGCGATCCACCAGGCGAGCTGTGTCTTCGTCCGCGTCCGTTCTCCAGCTCGTCCTCGTAGTCCTGCAAAAAGAAAACCGACAAACGTCCCTTTTATCGCGTTCGGCAACACCCGGCCGCGACAACAGTCTCTCTCTGCGATTGGCAAACGCTTCGAGGGGTCTAAGAGGGTCGAGAGCTTCGAGCACCCGCGATACTGTGTTTCTGTTCTCGAAACAATTTTTCTGTACCTGGTTGTCGCACTCGTCGTCGTTGGAGAGGGCGAGATCGGAGGTCGTCACTTGGTGTTGCTGCGTCCTCCTGCAGCCCACTCTGCAATGGCCAAAATTTGCGATTTGAGACCACCCGCCCTGCGTCTCTCACTCTCACTCGTCTCTCACTCAATTTCCCCTTTCTAGAAATCTGCCGATTTTCGTTTCAATTTCCTCCCTTCTCTTATATTTACTTTATCTTCTTTCTAAGTTACTCATTTCCTTCTTACGCGAAAGCCTCTTTTCCTTTCTTTCTCCGAAGCGTCTACGTATCGCGTTGCGTCGATTGGTTACTCGTCCGATTGAATATTTGAAGCGGGTCCATCGATTATTTTACCAAAGTAGCCCGATTTCTCGAACGTGAAAGCGGTTAGCAGCTAAGGGGAAGCCTGACCTGGATACACAATTTACACACATACATGTACGTATCGTGTTTATTCTTCGCGGACAAAGTTTACCGTTCCATGGAGCGGAAAGCCCCGCGACGACTGACAATTCTGCGATTTGTAATCGCACGGAGGACTCGGAGCTTCTGGATGTTTCGTGCCGGGAAACCGTTTTCGATCGCAACGAAAACAGAACCTTTTATTCTCACCCGGTGAAGTTGGACAGCAGAATGGAGCACATATGAGCGATGACAGCAATGCGGTTTATTTATATGTTTGTCATCGATTATTTAACGAGTAGTCGCACGTAGTAGCTGACCACCGACGGACGTACACCCCCATTGGATATCGCATGCCAAATCTATTTCCGTTTGTTGGCTCGTCCTTCGTCGAACAGCCCCAGGTGCCATCGATCGATCGATGTCGCGCTAACAGCCAGGATGGCGTCAAACGTCAAACAATCAGAATTCGCAGAATTTTCTGACTACTGTTATTTATAAAGTGTTTGACACTTGACAATTATTGCAAATATTGAGATACAAGAAAATATTCGACTTCGTGATTGCACGGTTCTATGTATAAGCGAGTATAAGCTGTATAAAATATACCGGAAATGAAGCTTCTTAATTTTGATAGAAGCAATGGGAAATATTAGTTAGCTTAGTAGTCGAAAATGGATGAAAATTGATCCTGCAAAGACGCCCGAGCTAAATCACTTTAAATTTGTTTTATTTCGCAATCTTTAGATTTCATGAAATGTCAACTATTTATTATAGATATAGTATAGAACTTGAGTGGTGGAAACATATTCCTTGACTAAACTCAGGTTTAGCTGAATCATCTGCTAGTAATTGAAAAAATTATAGCGATATCAATCCTCTCATCTGGTGAAACTGCACCAGACGCTTAAACACTCGTGAAATTAATTTCTCAGACTCTCAGAATCTCCGACCAGATATCTTTTATGGAAAATTGATTCACAATTCTCACTTTGAAATATATCACGTGAAATCGATATCGCGTGATAATTGTCACGTTAAAAGAGTCTCGCCACAAAATCCTTCAGTGCGTTTGTTGTCTTAATGTTAACAAAGTAGAACGAAGAAAAACTGAAGACAAGAGTTTCCCCCTTGATGACGTCCACACTGACACTTTTTTCCCCGCGAACGTTTCGTTCGCGTAGCTATTACGGTACTGCTAACTCTCTCGAAGCTCATTTGTTTCATTCTGTTACCCGGGATACGACCTAGTGTTGGAACTTTGGCCGACCGTAGAACGAAATTTTCAAGGGCCATTTCTATATGTACGCTATTGCCGCATCAGCTCTGCTATAGGACTGCGGTACACTGATTTTGACAATCGCTTCCCTAATGTGTTGCCATGTAATTTACATTATTTTCTCTCTAACATAGACTGCAAGCGGTTGTAGATTTAACTGAGGGAACTTCTATTTCTTTCGAATAATACCTTTGTGAATAACGGAATGATCGATTAGTCAGAACTGGTAACTGGATCAAGTTACTGTAACGTCATGTTCAAAAAAATTAATTCCAAACGTATGAGGAGGACTTAATTAAAAATCTTTACATCGAAAAAGATTTCTGATTAAGAGGCGCGATTGACGCTATAATGATTGATTACCTTACTGCAGCGTTTTGTAAATCTCGATGTTATAATTGATTGACGTTATTCTAGCGTCATGTGATCATGACTATAAATGAATCATAATGAGTTTAAATATACCTTATGTTTTACAGATTCATAATCGTTTCTTTATACATAGTAAAAGCCACATATTTTAAACTCTTATTGTTAGTATAACTGTCAACAGTTATCACCGAAAATAACTGGTCGTTATAATGTCAATTAATTCAATTCATAGCAAAGCAATCGTAAATTCCTTTCTTTACAAGAACTGCTGCAATTTTAATGACTCGATGAAAAGGAAAAAAATTATTAATCGAAATTTCATATTTTAAATGAAATTCAAATAAACTCGGCGCGAAATCGATGCAAACGAAGATCAACATTTGCCGGGAACAGAGCGCGAGCAAACTGAATATAAGATCGGAATAATCCCGCGGGGTTTTCAATCTTTGTCAATGTAAATATCGGTTCGAAATGAAACGTAAACGAAATGAACAGAGAACCTGGAGGGAGGGGGGGAGGGGGGAGATCAAAAGAGCCGATCGATGCAAACAATAAGAGTGGAATCTCGTTAAAACGTTTCTGCTAGGAGCGAGAACATTTATCGTTCGATGCCGCGCGCAATAATCGGATACTACCGAAAACCAATATCGCCCCGGCGAGATATGCAAATCTCATTTTTCTCTTTTTTTCTTTTTCTTGTTTTTGATTCGCACAGAACGCTTTATGCATTCCCTCCCCGTGCCATACCCGGTCAGAGATATCGATTCGACGGAATTTACTTACACCGAATTCCGTGGAAAGACACGTCCCTAGTCTATCCATCATTCGCTGGTGTTATGAATTCACGTATAGGGTGTGCGCCGAATTAATCGACCTGATCATCCCTTCAAACACGTGAGAGAAATTGGCACGGGACCAGAGGAATTTTCCACGAGATGGAACCTTTACATCGTGATACAGATTTTCATCGAGTTTTCGCAAAGTGTCTCTTCGTTTATTAACGAAGTATTTTCGTGGCCGTCTATTTTATTTCGTATCGATTTATATACATTGCATTGGTACTTGTATTTTCAGGCAACCTCGTTTTGACAAATGAAAAGAGTTTTAATGTTTTAATTCTGTTGCATCCTCTGGGATTATTTTCCCTTCTGGGATTATATCTCCGTCAATTGTGTCTCTCTCGTTGTTGAAACGTTTGTCAAATTTGCGGAGAATAATGGTTATTTTTATATGGGTAATCTCTTGTTTCATTTTTTCTTTCTTTTTTTATTGAATTGTTATAATTCAATTTTTCATCGAAGTATTGAGATAAAAATTCGAAAATCACAGGAGGGACAAGAAGAATTTCAGGAAAAATTTGAAAAAATAATTTGACGAGAAACTTTACAGAAATTTCAAGACCACAAGTATTTGCAGTTAAGCAAGGATAAGAATTTGAAGAATTTGCTTTTACATATGCTTAACACGAAAAGAAATTCCTTGAAGATTGCTGATCTAGATCTTCGTACACAAGAACTTATTAAGCAACAGTTTAGAAAATATAATTTGTAGATTTCTCCAGAAAAAAATCTGCTTTGAATTTATAAAGTTCACTTGTAAATTTGTTACTTTTTTTATTAATAAGCTTACTATTCAAAATTTTATCAATCGTTAATTCTTTGATAATAAAATAACAGATATAGAGGGATTAAAATTCAAGAGTTATAACTTTGAATTAATATTGATCGTAAAACGAAATCCCTCAGAAAGCAATAAAATATTCATTATTTTCAGAAATTCAACAACGGTTCCAAATTATTTATTAAAATGTTAATCGATCTAAAGAAAAGTCAGTCGACTACCTGCGCGAATATTTTCATCAAAATCAAACCGAAGTAACGTTCCGCCTTCAGGGGTAATCTGTAAAAAAAAACCTAGCCTCTTTTTTTAGAAGAAGCAACATTCCGTTCCATCGATCTCCACTTACGACGTGCTCCTTTGACCGTACATAAAAATCCTGTCGAGGGCCCCGGCGAATTAATCGAACGATTCACAGAGCTGACCACCGATACACCCTATACACATCTACACGTATTCAACCCGCGCCCACGCGAGGATACAAGGACGACACACACGTACAGTGTGTATAAAAAGTATTTGCGCCTACCCTTATTTTCCAATTAAACGTTCTCCTTTAACAGATTCTACGCTTTATTTTTACAGCGTGAAAGTTTTAGTAGTACTATTCAAATAAAATTTACTAAATCTCTTTAATTTTCAGCTGATAATAAAATTCAACTGATTTTGTTATTTTTTAGTAGAAATTTACTAAATATTTCAGTAAATCTGCTAGTTGTACCATAATTATATTTTAATAAAAACGTAAAATAAGTACTATAAGTACTACATTTTAATTTAGTAAATTTAGTAAATATATAATATAGAATTTAATAAAAGTTGAAATTATTGTTTTACTACTAATCGTGTCGCTATTAACTATCGAGTTAAATAGACTATTTTCAAATGCAGATCATTTAAAAATTATTCGCAATTGAATTTGTCCAATTATAGCTTGATATGCATTTTCTTTTTTGTTAAAATATTCTTCTGACTCGCGCAGTAGTAACTCTACCTTATTCCGTTGCTAAAAATACTTTCAGATATCGTTTTTGGAACATCTAGCTGGAAACTTTTGCACACCGCTGTATTGGTCGCTATTTACCTCCCCCTTCTACGATTCTCGTGTCTGCTTATCCATGTACATACCTGCTACTAGTCAGGTGGCGCCGAAGGGGGTGGCTGAATGCGGGATAGACACTAAAGCCAGATCGAGCCTGGTAGGAAATGAAATATCGATGTACCTCGTATATCCGACATAGAAACGCCATTACAGCTATCCCTGCTTACTGCGGAATCGTACCCTTTTTCACCTATATTTTTTTTTTTTTTCGTTCCTTTCTCTCATCTTCTTCCTTATTTTTTTTTTTTTCCTCTGTTGGATTTCAAATCGCGGTAGGATCAATTATCGATCAGTGGTTCCTCTTCCTGAGTGGAAGTTGAACTCGAAATTAGGTTGAAGTGTTTGGTTAGAAATTAAGGTTGTGACTTGTGGAAGAAGAAGACGAAGGATCGAGGATTTTCTTTCGAAAATTTCAACGATAAGTTTTGCTAAAGGGGATGAAAGATGGTTTTGTGTAAATGAGATTGTTTTAAATTTTTGTACTATGAAATTCTTTGATTAAATTGACGAAATTATGGCGTGTAAATTAAGTTAACTCATTAAGAACCAAGCAAAATAATTTATTATAATATTATTTTGTAACAATATAATTTGTAATAATAATTAATTTATTATAATATTATATTATGATAATAATATAATTTATAATAATTAGAATATCATATCATGTTATAATATTATATTCAGTTTGAAATTATAAAATGTAAATGCAAGTTAGATAATGGATAATTTATATTAATAAATATTAATAAATATAACCTATACATAATTGATAAATTGATTGAAAACAAGTGCGAATGAAATTTGCATTAACAGTTGGTCCTTAATAGGTTAAAGTAATTCATACTATGATAAGGAAAGAATATGTCCGTGAGCATTTATGTAAATGTCTTCATTAGATTGCAAAATTTATAGCGAAATTTAAGATTTAACTAAAGCTTAATTCACACGAGCAAATTGAAAAATTGTTCTGAATTATTGCTCAGAGCAACTACAATCCCACATTCGAGAAATCAGTTCGCAAGATGCACTTAACAAAACGATTCGAATCTACAACCGTGGTTCTCAACGAAGTTACTCGATATAACTCAGTTACTACAACTGCAACTGCAAATCTGCCGTTTACTCTGGACGACAAATTTATACGGTCAACTTGAATTTTCTTGAACTGTGATCCTTTAAAAACTTGTACTCTCGAATCAGACTTTATCCAATTTTTCCGTTGCAAATTTTCTTTCGTCTTATGATGAATTTAAAAATTTCTAGAAATTCTTCTCCGTTGAGTTTCCGCGCGGAACAGGAGAAACTGAGAGAGAAAGGTAAGAGACACTTCGAACTAGAGCAGAGGGATCTTCACGAAAATCAAGAAAGATTCAAGGATATCATTGAGAAATGTCGAAAGATTCTCGGTTTATTGGAATCTCCTCGACCTGGTCCTGGGCATGTCGGCCCCGAGACCGCTGTCCTCGCTGGGCGATCTATATTCCTGGTTATCCCGTGGCAGAAGAGGTCCTGTTACTCCTAGAGGATCTCCCTCGACGTCCACCAGTCGTCCCGGACGGCAACAACCACCGGGTACACCCCTCTGCGAGAAATCACCAGATCCAGTCATGCCATTCGCTAATCTGTCGCCACTCTCAACCCGGTTTCGATGGCCAACGAGTATTTCTCACTTTTTTTCCCTACCTTGACTCAAACCTTTTCGTTGATTTTCAATATCTTTTTACTTTTTTTTTTTTCTCCTTTTAATAATCCTCCCATTTTTCTATCGAAACAACTTTTGCATTTGGAAAGTCAGCGAATTATGCAGAATTTTAACGATCGAATGAATTTGAATGATTCTCAGAATAAACTGATGTAAAAGTAAAAGTAAATGTACGAACTATAAATGACTATGAGTGGCTCACGAAAGTATTTGAATACTTGTCGCAAAAAATTTTTATACACACTGTGTGTTATAACTACTGTTGGAGCGATAGCAGTGTAACTAATTCTTTTTTCCTAAAAATGTACTAAATATCTTATAATTTCTATGTATACTTTCGCGTTTCGCACAACACATACAATACGAATTGCATCAGAAGCGATATCAATTAATTTCCATAAATTGAGAAATAAAGAACAATGGGTTCAAATCTTGCAATTCTCGAGAAATTTCTTATACCCGTTGTAAATTTATGAAAATAAAGAATCCGTTTCTTCGAGAAACTTTCGAAGAAATGAAATTGTGAAACTTACAGAAGAAACTTGTGAGGCTGATCAGTTTAGCTCCGAAGGAGCTCGTACATATATTCATGAGGGGTTTCTAGAAGCGTTCGAATATTTTCGTGAGCCGCTGCAAAGAATCAAGCGTAGCCGAACTCAAAAAAAAAAAAAAAAAAGAAAGAAAGGATAAATTGTCTGAGAGAGGAGCAACTGAAAAGTATGAGAAAGCACTCAAGCTTCGTCCGTTGGGAAATCGTTTATTCCTTCGCTTCCTCCCCCCTACCCGCTCTTTCCCGCGTAAATCAACGGATCGATCGTTCCATTTCGTGTCAATCCGTCCCCCCTATATAAGCATCAGAATCACCGACTAATTAGCCATAAAAGCGTCGATCTGTATGCCAACTTAGTCAACGATCTATCATCGATCGGTACCGCGGTGTCGTGGCTGACTCTGACGTTTGTCACTGTACAGATGACACTTGATTTACGATGACTTCCGATGGCTCTCTTCCGTTCAAAGATCACGAAACTCGGCCCGTGAACCGTGGAACTGCGTGCCAGCCCGTCCGTCATTAATCAAACATCATTCTGTTTTGTCCATTATCGATTTGTCGATTAGCCACGATAAGAGCAGTCCCTTGTTCCCCAAATCGATTAACGCTTGAATAATTCTTTGCCAATTAATGCAACTAGTTGCAGGTGTTGAAACGTGATGCACGTCGCGGTTCGTATTTTAGCATTTCGTAAGAATTTTATTAAGCGTTAAATGAAGTAGCATGGCGAGTAATAACGTGAAATGTCTATTTTCTTTCCTTTTCCTTTTTTTTTTTTTTTTTAGTGGAAATAATCGTGATTTTGGTTTTAGATAAAAGAGCAACTTTTAGAAGTAATAGTAATGTCCAAATTCGTAAAGGATAATTATGCAAATTAAATAATTTTCGTTATTATTGTAGGAAAATTTTTTTCAAATTCTTCCTCTATACTTTCCAGAGAAATTAATTAGTCGGAAAAGAATATTAATGTTGTACTATTCTCAAGTATACTTCTCTCAAATATCTATAAGATATCTACTCTGAAATACAAATAGAAAATCTAAAACGTTCTTAAATGGACATTCCAGCTGTTACAACCTGATATAGAAAAGCTGGACTTGCTGCTTCAAGCTACGCTTAAACATTTTCTCTGATGAGCTTTCAACGTAGGATTATTCCTAGCCTAATTAGACCTTCCACTATTTTTTTGCCAACCTCGTTACCCGCGGGCTAAAGAGCTTTTAATTAGAGTAATTCAACTTCCCTCTAACATCGAAACGATTTCGAAACGAATTTTCGTATAAAATTGAACAAAATTCCGCGCGCAAGCGAGTTTCTCCGATACTCTTTACTTGGATAAGCTAAATCGATGTAAAAGAAAAAAAACAAAGAGAGAGAGAGAGAGAGAGAGAACAAAAAAAGACAGCACTGTAGAAAGCTGAAACGCTAGTTGGAGGACACGATAGTTGAAGAACAAAGCGAGAACGAAAGCTTAGAACGAAGAGGAGGCTTCCGTCGAAATAGAAATCGTTCTGTTCATGGACGATTCAACGAAGGAGATTAACGGTGTCGCTCGTTTTCAAACTCGTTGGCTACGAAACCGGCCATCAGCGAGCTAGCCCGAGCTTTGGACAAGGCTGGCCAAGGATCTCTCCGGATCTATTTCTTTTTTTTCTTTCTTTCTTTCTTTCTTTTTTTCTTTCTTTTTTCCTTTCCTTTTTCAACTGGACGATCTCGCGTGCAGGAATCGTTACGAAACGGGAAAGCACCGTGCGACCGGGAGATCAGCGAAGCTTTTCTCAGTAAACTTTCCGGCTCCTGAATCGTGACGCACGAGACGCGATTAGGTCTGATCTCCGAACCAGCTACTCTTGGCATCTTGCGATCGTGTGCGTGATCAGCCGCGATTCATGCAAATTACGGAAACTTCGATTGCCCCTACAGGGAACAGGACTTCAGAATACTTATACTCTGTAGGAACAGATGATTTCTTTCGACCTAAATATGCCGAAAGTTTCTACATCCCTGGCAAAAAGAATCGATATCTTCGAGGTATAAGAAACTATTTGCTTGAAATATACAGGCGGGAAAATACAATCAGAGAATTCAATTCAATTTGCGAACACGAAAGATTTCAATGTTTCGAATACTTGCGTGGGAGTAATAAAAATAGTATTCTTTTCTGTTTTATAACGTACTCTTCTTTCTTTTATAAATATTACTTTCTATTTTTACGCAAGCGTGTGATCGTAAATATTAACTACATTGTTTATTTATAATCATGAACCAAATCTTTAGTCGAAGTTTTTGTATCTTCACGTTTGCCAGCAAACGTAATATTCTTTTTCTCCTCGTCTGATCGCGCACTCGATCAAAGCAAGAGAGAACTGAACCAAACAGAAATCCAGCAAAGCTCAGGCGAACTCGTTCGCACTTTTGTACTGTCTCCCCCGATGTGGTTAGCGTGAAAAGAAATATAAAAAAAGAGAAAAAAAAGAGAGGAAAAGACAGGCAAAACAGATTCATTCGCATCTACCAGTTGCATTCCATGTATCTCTGCCATGTTCGTTTTGCAAGCGTGTCTAAAAAGACCTGTCGCATCCAGATTCACATCCAGAAACGTAGAATACTCGAAGCCACCTCGGTACTTTTTCCCCATCGAATGGTTTTCCCCTTCCTCCTGCCCCTCTTCCTCGTTATTTTAAACAGTGAAACCGAATACTCTCCTTCCTTCTTTTTCGCCTTCTCTTTCCATCTCGTTGAGAAAACGTTTACACTGTCGAGGCCTTAATTGCAACGACATTCAATCCACTGGGCTTCGAATATTCGCGCAATGGCACGGCTGAAGCACTACGCAAACAATCTCGACTGCACAGTTGCCAAAGAGAACGCGGAACGTTGACGAGCGTAGACCGGAAACGAGGCGACACTGCCTGCCAGGAGAAGCGCACTAACACTAAGCGGACGTCATAAACAAAACACAGGCAGACAGAGAGAAGACGACAGTAGAAACGAGACAAAGAGAATAGTGTTGCAGTATTCGAGAGCGGAAATAGAAGAAAGGCGGAAGAAGATATGTGAAGAAGATTGAAACGAAAAGAGAGACGCTCCTCTATGAGAAAAAAAGCGGGGAAAGAAAGATGCACCCGAATGGACCAGCTAAATGAGATCGCCTAAAATGCTTGCAAAAATATTTGAACATACTCTACGCGAAATATTTTGAACGGTGTCGTATGATTATATTGGAAAATCTGAAAAAGTGACGGTGATATTATATATTCACATCACAGAAATATTCGAATATACTCTTCCAATAATTTTGAACGATTGATATTCTTTTGATATACACAAGTTTTCGAAATTTTTATCGATGGTGGTGTATTTTGAAATGTTCTATTCGCCATTGATAAAAATTTTGGAACTTTTATATTGCAAGAAGATGTGAATACTTCTGCGACTCGTCGTTAACGAGCTTTAGTATTTCTTCATTTGTATTTGTATTTCATTTAAAAAATATCTGTAACCTTGCGATCTCAGAAAATCTCAAAAAAAGACTTTTTACGCCATTGTACGTGCCCACAAAAATAGGGTACGTTCATTTTGACACTGAATTTAGCTGGACCATCTCATATAGAGTTTCATTCAGATGAAGAAGAAGCAGAAAGAGAGAGAGAGAGAGAGAGAGAAAGAGAGAGAAAAAGGTTGCAGGAAAATTCTCGAGTCATGCTTCACTGGTCACTGCGATAGCCGAGAGCAATTAAGCGAAAAAACTAAACGTTCATCTCTCGGATCCAAGTGGACGTGAGATATATCCGGCAATTTGATCGCCTTTGGACGTTCTTCAGTTGATTTTTCGTCTTCGGCTTTGTTCTCCGGTAGTAGTCTTCTCTTCTTCTTCGAGATATTCCATTCCTTCTCGCACCTCTCCAATCGACAATGAGCTTCTCCTATCTCTTCTCTTTCGTTTTTATTCGTCCCTTTTGTTCTTTCATACTTTCGTTTGTTTCCTTCGTTCGTGTTCTTTTTTTTTTTTATTTTACAGCAGAACCGAACAATTCTTTTAACACGTTCACTGTGTCTTAGATCAGAATTCAAACTGATCTAATCTCTACTTTTTTGCAAATTTTATTATTGGAATTCTCTTTCTCCAATGACGAATAAAAATTACTTTTCTTGGTGCAGTTAATTATTCTGACTTTTGATGTACAGTAGCAGTTCCGCACGAACGAGGAACAGTTTTATTTAATTTTTAAAATTGAAAACAGAAAAGAAAAAAATTGAGTTTTATAATAATTTATATAAACACATAAACATATGTAAAATTTTCATACAACAGAGACGAATATTGCACGAGAATTATTTATTATTCGACTGCGAATGTTTATGCATTTTATGGAAAGTTTAAAGATACAAAATCCACGTCATATGTAAAAATATGTAAATTATCAAAAATGCAGCGCTGTTTGTGAAATTAATAAATGTAACAAATCGGCGTGTAAGTTATATTCCCTTAGTTATATAATAAAAATGAAATATAAATTTTCCCCAAAATCCGCAGTCCATCCGCATTAGCCTCCCGCACAATGAACGTGTTAAAATGATTTCTCTCATTTCTTTGCTTGCTATTTTCAGGATGTTTCGATTCTTTCGTGATTCCATGATTAAACGACTCGAGATTCTTTTCGAACAAACGATACTTAATATTCGAGAAGGAGAATATCGTAGGATTAGGTCGTTTGCGAAACTCGGCGACAGAGAAAGGTAAAAAAAAAAAAAAAAAACAAGAAACGAGAGGAGAGAAACAGTCAACAGTTAAAAAATCTAACAGTTACAGTGGACAACGCAGAACAGAGAGTGAGAAAGATAGAGACAGATAGTTTCTATACATTTCCCGAAACAGAGATAGAGGAAAGATAAATAGAAAGAGAGAGAGATAGAGATAGAATAATCGTGTGAGATATCAGTCGTTGTGTTCTGTGTGTGTTTTAACCCTTCATTCGTGTTGCTGTACGATGAAACGATGATTATTTCGTTCACTTACCGGAAGATCGTGCAGGGAAGGCGTCACTATCAAATCCGAGTGTGCACGGTCACCTTTTCTCTGGAAGTAAACGATGGAGATTAGTCTAATCGTAATTGATGAATTGCTTCACACGAGTTTTACACATTTCGTACACGTAGATTGAGAAACAATAATTGAATACATGTCAACTTGAAATTAAAAAGATATTTTGCTTTAAATATACAAAATATAAATATAAATTTTCGTGATCTTTTTGTATTCTATCTAATAGCCTCAGACTCGAGTCCTTTTTCAAGTTACTAAATAATTGAAAGTACCATTTATTAGATAAATCATCTTAGATTATTTTAAATATATATCATAACTTTAACAGAGAAATTAATAATTAATAAGGATCCAATTCGAAATTAAAAATGAAAATGATACGTGTAAGAAATCAAATCTGTATGATCAGAATTTATAATTGATATTTAATTTTTCAAAACATTAAATAATCAATCTTTGTGATACTGAGAAATGAATGTGTTATTTTTGGTGTCGAGTATGGACAATATATTTTAAAAATTTATTAGTTAAAGTATTCACTTTTAATAAAATGGATACTGATTTCAATGCGTTATGTTTTTTCTCGTAAAATCAGTAAAAAACATATATTTCTATTATCAGACGGAATAAATGAAAAGTTTTATTCAGCACAATACATTCGATTCAAAGCATACCCTTGCCATGGCTACCCGAGGCCTGTAAACCAAATCGTCGAAAGCAGCTCTGTCTTTACTGTCGACGAGTTCCCTGAGCTCGGTTAGAAGAGTCAGTTTCTCATGGGTGTTCAGCAGGTCTCCTAAACTGACAACTAGCTCCTCGATCGTCATTCGACGTGTTCTGTAGTCAGCTAAAAGCTGAGAGAGCGCAGCCCTCTCGCTTCTCGCGAGAACCACCCTTGCTTTCTCTTCCACCATCGCGGCCGTCGCCGCGGAAACTGTGTGCATACCGCCTCTATGTCTCCAATCGCTCGCGACGCTGAAGAAAATATTAATACCCATCGCTTAATCTGTATTTTATCGAACCTATAGTTCATCATTCGAAATTTCTCTCATAAGCGAAATACAAATCAATCTGGAATATTTTAAACCGTGATTCTTATGGACTTTTCGTCTATCAACTTTGTTTTAAAGTAGAGCTTGGCAGAAAGTTTTAATTGATTCTAGTTTGAAGCGATAACACTGAAAGCTTTATATATTTGAGATTTTTATGAATAAGGAGCTATCGATAAAAGAAAGTTCAAAATTTGTAAATACTAGTAATTACGTTTTACAAAGTTATAATTTTTGCTCCTTTCTACTGTTTTTTTTTTAAGATTTATGTGCTATTATATAAATGTGGAGATTTCTTTTAAATATTGAAACAACGAGTAGTTTAGATATTTTATTGCGTACATTTCCGAAAAATGCATATATCTCGAGGAATGATATTATTAACGAAGCTCTCACAGGCTGATTTAAGTAGATTAAGTATTTCTTACGTAGGACTCGGCGGTCGATGATTTCCTGGGCTCTCCAAGAGCAAAGGATCATGTTCGGGGTACCTAGATGTTGGCATGACGATTGGTTGACTGGTGGTGCAAGAATGTGGCACTTTCCCGACATCGCGAATCAGAAGGGTCATCCTCTTGTTTGTCTTCAGGATTTCCACTGCCTCGTCGTGGGTTGCTTCCTCGAAGCTCTGACCATTTACCTCGATGATTTGGTCACCTACCTGTGAAAAAATGATAAAATATTACATTAGTTTCTATTTTAAATTTTATACTACACTCGTAGCATCAGAATAAAAAATGGAACATTTTAAGATGAAGAACTACTTTAAAATTTTTTAAAATTTTCATTTCATTAAGAACCACCGAAAAAATTATTATTTTAGTCTTAATTGTTCTTAAACTGTATTAATTTTTTATTTTAATCATCTATTATAGCACAGTCAATTTTATCTAATGTACAATGTATAATATTCCATTCAAATGTCATTTTAGAAAACATTCTTCTTATATTCATCAAATTAATAGAACGATGATTTTCAGTTTTTATCGAAATTCATCGAATCGCGAACGAAAACCGCTTTTGAGTGCTTGCTTTTTCGAACATCATCATATCTTTACGATCGTTAGCGTCCACTCGTTGAAGCATCATTGCGATCCACTTTTGTCATCCACTTTTGTCATGAGTGCTTACCACCGTTCTAACTTAACGAACTAATTAATTCTTCCCGACATTGAATTACATAACGAGCTAACTGATACCACTCGTTACTCCATGAACGTCATGTGTAATTGTAATTGTAAGTAATTATTTCAGTATCATGCGAACAAACGGTGTATTATATTTTAGAAATCAAATATATAGAAAAATCATCGTGTGCCTTCTTTGTAATTAATTAAAGTATCGTTAACTCTAATCTATAATTTTTAAGTTATTTTATTGTCATAAAATCTTAAAATCAATTGAATGTATAATTTTGTATTCATGTATATTATAATTCATCAAATTTATAATTTTTCCAAATACAAACTATTTTATCCCGTTCTCTTTCAATAACAATTTTTGAAAAATCTCCACTTACCGAATTTGTAATGCAGTAAATATTAAAGTTAATAAGAATTTATATAATGCATAAAAAAAACCTCTACCATTATCCAGCTATTTTATCGACAATTTTTAAAAATTTCTATTAATCACCAGAAGAATTATCTCTCTTTACGCTTTATAAAAGTTTACAACTTTTAACTAACTTCACTCCGCCTTACTTTCTCTAATTACTCCAACAATCTTATACTCGAAAAATTTCCAACTTTTAATATATTTCATCGGCCGGTACCTTCGAGAAAAACGGTAAAGAGGGACGACGAGGGAAAAACTTTTCAATTTTTATCATCGACGAAATGGTCTGCTGACACTTCGAAGAGCCAAAAGTCTAATAAAAATACAGCGAACCCTCTTCTATCGTGTCGATAGAGGTAATAAAATCTGAGAAACTCTTACCAAAAGTCCAGCTCGGTCGGCCACGCTGTCCTTGTCGACTCCGGTGACATAAATCCCAAGGCCGTACTCCAGACCACCCCTGATCATCAAACCAAGGGACTGACCAGGTTCGATGCACAGCTCGACTTTTCTCGTCCTTGGGCCGTACCTCGAGTCTCGAGGTGGGTAAAGTGGAGGTGGCGATGTTGGACGACCTTGACGGTCGATCCAGCTGCAGGATTGTTGTCGACCGGAAGAAGACCACACCGGATGCCCGCCTCTGCAACGAGGATCCAACGCTGGTCCTCGAACCGTCATACTTAGAGTCCTGCATGATTTCAGCATCTGTAACGAAAATTAAGAGGATTCTGTTAATCCTTGAGTACTGCAGGCTCGCAGAGATTTTTAATATTCATATTAATACTCTAACATTTCATCGTTCTTATACTTGGAGAATATATCGTGAATTTTATTAGCTTAAAAACTATGGACGATAAAAATTTTGCGACGATCTGGTGGCAGCTTTTGTATTTTGAATTATTTCGAGAAGTAACCGCGGACTTTGGAAATTTTGGCAAGAAAGATGGAATATTAAATTTTGTTAGCGTTCTATATGAATTGTCAGGTTTTAAATTTATATCATTATCGTGAATTTTTTGAAACTTGGAAAACGTAGAGCAAGATTCAAGCATTTATGTACGCCAAGAATTGGTACGTTGTTAAATTTTATTAGAATCTTATTCCTAGCAAACCTCACACCTCACTTTCGGAGCCATTGTGAGTTTTGAAGTTCCGAGAAGTTCAGACAAATGCAAAGACTTTTGCATCTGCGACGGAGGGTAGTTAAATTTTATTAGAATTGCATAACAGTTTTCGCATATCGAACAAACTTCTCTTTACCACGAGTTTTGAAGTCTGTGAAACGTAAAGAATTCTGAAATTTAAATGACGAACGATTGTCATCCGCGACGAAAATTTTATATGAATCTTCACGTTTTGAATAAACAACATTGCGAATTTTAATTGTGCAGAAAATATAAGTAAACGAATTATAGATATTGTGAATGAAGATGGATTATTAGATTGTCTGGAAGTGACAGGTCTTGCCAGAGAGTATTCATAAAAAGGGTGGACTTTAAGAATCGGTGGAGAATGCTGAGGTAGAGATTTCGAGTTAACATGTGGCGCAGATGGGGCTGAAGTGGTGCTGTAGGAAGTAGTTGGTTTGCAAATGACAAGTCGGAAATCGGGTTATCGGAAATTAATATTTTCGTGGAACGTCTTATAAAAAAGTAAAATATAAAACGGAATCGAAAGCACCATCCAATGTTTAAAATTAACGCTAGTACCAAAATGATATAAATATTTAATTAAACATCGATCGTATACCCAATTTTAGCTAAGAGATTTCATTTATTTGAATCCCTTTTTTGGAAGCACCGAATATTTTAAAAGCGTGCCATAAACCAGTTTTGAATTAATAGGAAACTGAGAAGGATTAATAATTCCTCCATTTACTGTAATGCCATCAAGGATAATTAACCTCTATTATTGGCCACTTTATTGATCCTCGGCTACAAAGCTGCATTTATCTTACAGCTGACAATAAGTATAAATGTAAGTATACTTTTAGACAGCGATACAACGAGATCGTAATATCAATTCATTAAAATTTAATTGACTGTAATAGGTAAATATATAGTAATAAAATAGTGATAGAGATTACAGCCATCTATTCGTGTTATTATATATTTATTATATTATTCGGTTGAATTGCAATAATATTCTTCCTTGTAGCAATATCACCTACCATCTATACCATTGTACAAGTATACGTGACAGATCACAATATTTATTAAAACCATCTCTACCCTAGTCATGTTTCACTATAAATCTTTTTACACACGAGACATGCTTTATTATACATACTAATAAATGTTCAAGTATTTTCACGAGTCACTGTGATATCGCTTCTTCCAAGTATAATTACATACGTGGCACGTCAATACGCGTAACATACAAAATGTAGTTCCACACCTAACAAACGTATTATTCAAACGGGGTTATTGCACTTTGTTGTGTAACCAGAGGCGTTGGAGAAGTTGGACCATTCTTTGACCATTATTCAAGGCTCGTGACGGCGTTGCTATGCAGAAGGACCGACAGACACGTATCAAGCAGAAGAAGATTCCTCGCTGACTACCTCAGAATAGATCGCTTATACGTGTTGTGCCTCAGCGAATTGAAAGAAATCATTGTTCGCGGAAAGGGTTCCTTCGGAAGGAACCTTGGCAAGTGAAACAGCGGACAATCGACGTGTGTGTCGGGTCAACAAGGAACAAATGATTTCCACTGCCATTCCCGAGCGAGGATAAAAGCCACGACGTGCATACGACGACCTCTTGCAGATTTTTCGAAAGACCGCGTCAGCTGTGCATACGTGTAACAAACAACTCGAGTGTCCTCGATGGCGTTTCTGTCAGCCGTTTGACGACCGTTGAACAAAAGTGTCTAAAAAATATTCGTCAATCTGCCTACGTTTAAGCCTCAAACTTTTATGCTGCGATTCTCCCATGTTTCGTCGAACATTTTCGATCATCGAATAATATTTTTCTATCATAGGAATTTTTTTTAAGAATAATAAGAAAGAATCTGTGATTCATGAATTATTTTTTTTTTTTGCGCTTTTTGGGCCACTTTAAATTGTAACTGTACGTTTACTACAATTCTTTAATTTTGAGGGAAATACGAAAAATGAAAATATACTTTATATTCAGTTCTGTCACGTTCTTTGAATTTTTCTTTCTTAATTTATGCACGTGGGTGCATAATTCAATTTTCAACTGAGCAGTATTTTTCTATCGTTACGAGAATTTTTTTTTGTTTTCTTTTTTTATCCTACCAATTTTATTTCATTCAAAAAGACCTTCAATATTTCCAAATTATTCACGCGTAAAATCGCAGAGAAATTTACCAAAAGCAAAATTAGACTTATTAAAAATAGAAAAATACGATTGAATAAAAACTGATCCACAAAACGCGGCAAAATTAAAATACGATATTACTGGAGAATGGAAAGGCGAATAATGAAACGGATAGGCAACCGTTACTATTTTACATAGTAAAGAGACAGGGAAGAATATAAGAAATTTGAAAGGCTTAGGAGGGACGAATTTATGAGGGATCAAACAGGAGTTTCAAGAGGGATGATAGAATTAAAGTCGAAGAAGAACACTTAGAGGGCGTAAGGTTGAAGCAAATGCGAGTCTACAACTTTGACGCGAATTATATCAGACTGGAGGGAGGAAATCCTGTGCACAAAGATGTATGCTTTGCACATAGCTTTATCTTATATCGACAAATCTAGTTTGACCTCGAATTTTGGAAATATTTTTGCTGAATACGAAATAAATAAATATCGTAATATAAATCAAACTGCGTTTCGTTTAAAAATTCTCGTTTAAAGCTCGCTGACTGTTTCTTACGAAAATACAATACAGCTAAATTAATTCATATTATAATACATATCATTTTTAATATTTCTGTAAATTTTGTAGTACAAATCCTCCATTCGTGAACAAACCCATCATCAACTGATAGTCTTGTTCCCTGTGTCATCAACTGTTTTATAGCTGAATTTATGGCATCGATACGTCTTGGCTCATAGATCCATTCCCACATCGCGAGAAGATGAAAGGGAACAATTCGATAGCTATTCGTTCGAGAAGAAAATTGGTACGTGTAAGGTCAACAAGAAGCAGAAGGTGCGTTCAACGGTGACGCCACTTGGTAGCTAGAATATCGATCTCCTAGCGGTCCGTGACGTCACATCCTGCCTATCCTTGACCCAGCCCGGATCACGTCCTCAGGATTCCACGCTCCTGGCCCACAAAGATGTAATTCTGTCGTATTTATGCGAGGCATGTACTCGCTACCGTCACTGTTCCTCCATCACCTTCATCACGGAGCTTCTTCATCCGAGAACGTATGGAACTTTTCCGATATGAGTCGTATAAAGTGCTGGAATTACACCGCGATTCATCACGCCACGAGAATTATACGCTAATGAAGCTTACGTCGAGAGAAACGTTTGCGGTTGTTGAGAAGGAATGATATTGATAAATTTTGGACGAGAGCTGCCATTTGGGCTTTCTGGATCTCTTCTGCGCCACAATTTGTTCGTTAATCGTCCTTGTCTCGTTACAGATATCTTTTTCAGTATTTCATAATTTCTCGGCAAATAGGATTTGCGATTTATAAAATTTACTTGCCAAATTTCATCTGTTTTATTATTACTAAATTCATTTGTGTTTTGTAAGAATTCTTGTATGAATTCAGTTGGGCGAGATAATCCCGATACAGCTATTTAGCAATAATATTTAATAAACTAATAAGTGATAAATAATTTTGTAACATTATATTATTATTATGATTGCAGAAAATTCTTCTATCCCATTCGATCGATGATGAAAAATCCTTCTATCCTGATACACTCGTGGAAAATGAAATTTAAGATTCATCTTCATCTCAATATTCAATTATCTGGAATATTACATACTTGAGCAATCTAATCTTCTATTAATTTTCCCGAAAATATTATTTGATTGTGTTACTTGATGTATAATAAAACCAAATGTAAAATATACAAAGATCAAATGCAAAATGTAAATATACTACGCTTATAATTTATAAAAATCAATTTATTAATACATTCATAAACCCTAGTGAAGTAATCGGCCGATTAATCGTTAACTAATCGAAGACTTTATATTCAGACTGTGACATTTCGCATGAATGTTAATAAATGTCGCTGCGACAGGTTTTCATTAGACAGCCACAGGTAAAAGATAGCTCCGCTACAGGAAGCGACAGAGAATTCATTTCCGAGGGAATCACCCTTTTAACTTTCGAAACAATGTCATTATCCCGGGCTATTTCCACGTGAAATCGTGCAACGATTCCTGGCTCTGTGATTACAACCGCGAAATCTCGTTTCGCGTGTGCATGCACGATTAAAAAGCCTCGTAACGATTCTTATCGTTAATAATCCCGGATGGAACTTTCGTACGCGATATTGGCTGAAAGTAATTACTTTCAAGTCAATCGTATCCTTACGAAATGCACGACACAGGCATATTTATCGAATTGTCGCGTCGTATCGAAAGCCGGGGGGAAATGGCTGACTCATCCGTAGAAATAATCGATACCGTTCCTAATTCTTGCGTGAAACGGCAAAGGGGAGCCGTTGCGGAAAATTTAATGGACTCGCCGTTACGTTACTCGTCTACGACTCTACGTGAATAATAAATATCGGGGAGAAAGCAATCATTACCGAGGAAAAACCA